ATAGCGCAGCTATGTTGTTCCCTTTTCACTTTCCCTGCGGTGCGCCGCAAATAAGTTTCTCCGCCGGCACATATTTGTCTCATAATATTGCCATTAATCAAACCGAAACGTCGGCGCGTGTACCTTTCTTGCTGAATTTTCGATGAAATTTTCATCGTTCGTCCGTTCAAATCGAACGAAAGGAAAAAAAAGAAAAAAAATCTTCTCTCGCTCGGCGGGAGAGCCTGGCCTCGTCAATTAAAACTAAATTGCCTGGGCGTTTTGTACGAACTTCGATTATATTCGCTCCTTAATATTCATGCTTTAATGCAACGATGTTTCTCGGAATCATTTCGGACTCGCGCTTCTTCCCGACAGCGTGTAATTTAAGTTACTTTACGATAATTAAAATATAGTGAAATATGTATTACGAATAATTATACTTTTATGAAAATAATTAGAGAAATGAGATTTGTATGAAGGTTCGTTTCATCTTCTAAATATAATGACGAATATTTTACATGCTCTTTTCTATCACTGTATTATATATTATTCAGATAATATGATTTATCATATTATATTATTAATTTATATTTACAATTTACATCTTTGTATCTTACGTCTACGCTAAAATTTGGTAAAAATAATTAGAGAAATTTACGTAAAGGTTCGTTTCTAAATATTCTTTTTAACTTCCTTCTAAATATAATAACAAATATTTTACATATTCTCTCTATCACATTAGTACTATATTATTATAGATAACATGATAAATCATTATCGATGCATATATCGTAGTAAAATTTAGTATTCGATAGCGTACATTTTAAAATCGTCAAGGCATTTCCCTTTTTGAGTTCGTATCAAAAAACTCACAGGAATATTCCAACTACAAAGTAACAACAGTGACGAAACTTTACAGTCTTAGTATGGATTTTTTTAACGCGATTGGCAATGGATTTATCCCTCTTTAAACATAAAGAGGAAAAAAGAAAATATATCGAACGAGCTACGTTGGATTGTCGAGATAAAAAAAAAAAAAAA